GTGTGTGTGTATGTGTGTGTGTGTGTGTGTGTGTGTGTGTGTGCCAGTCTTGGGGCTTGAACTCAGGGCCTGGGTATTGTCCCAGAGCTTTTGTGTTCAAGGTTAGTGTTCTACCACTCTGCGCCACAAGTTAATTGGAGATAAGAGTCTCATGGAAGCTCCCATCCCAGATGTCTTTGAACTTTAGTTCTCACATCACAGCTTCCTGAGTAGCTAGAATTACAGATGTGAACACCAACCCCTGGCTTGATACTGTTGCTTTTGATGCTGGTCCTAAAAGAAAGAAAAACAATCAGGGATGTACCTTTGTAAGTCTGAAGTCATTCCCACAGTGTGTCTAGGACAGGAGCTAGGCCCAGTGTGCCTTGCATCGATGTAAAGTGTTCATGCCTCCTCTCTCAGTTTCTTTAGATATTTTCCTAATGCAGCCTACTCCAAAGAAACCCATGGCTCCCAATTCTGAGGTATTTATCGGAGTCTTTGTAGAGGGGATGACGGTCACAAAGGTGACCCTTTAATTTCCATGGCAGACAGGGCTTTTCAAATTTATTTAAATAATTTTTTTTGGTCATAGGGCTTAAATTTGGGGCTCTTTTTGCTCAAAGCTAGCACTCTACCTCTTTGAATCACAGGACCACTTCTGGTTTTCTAATGATTAATTAGGGATAAAAGTCTCATGGACTTTCCTGCCTTGGCTTTAATTAATTAGTTAATTTAGTGCTAGTCCTGTGGCTTGAACTATGGGCCTGGGCACTGTGCCTGAGTTTCTTTTTGTTCTACCACTTGAGCCACAACATCACTTCTGGCTTTTTCTGTGTATGTGGTACTGAGGAATCAAACTCAGGGCTTCATGCAAGCACTCTATCATTAAGCCACCTTCCCAGCCCTCTGGACTGGCTTTAAACCACAGTGCTCAGATCTCAGCATTCTGAGTAGCTGGTATCATGGGCATGAGCCAAAAGCTTGGTGCTTTTCAAATTTAATCTGTTTTCTCTTCTCTTTACAACACTTTCCACTTGCCAAAAACAATTTCTTTTCTTTTTTTTTGGGGGGGGGGGTCTGGTTGTGGAGCCTGAACTCGGGCCTGGGCGCTGTCCCTCAGCTCTTCAGCTCAAGGCTAGCGCTCTACCACTTGAGCCACAGCACCACTTCCGTCTTTTTTCTTTTTGCTTATGTGGTGCTGAGGAATCGAACTCAGGGCCTCATGCATGCAAGGCAAGCGCTCTACCACTGAGCCACCTTCCCAGACCCCAAAAACAATTTCTATGGTTATCTTCAAAACATAGCTAGATCCATAACAAATTTTTTAATAAAAATGATTGTTTTTTTTTTCTTTTGGCCGGTCATGGAGCTTGAACTCTGGGCATGGGCACTGTCCTTGAGCTCTTCAGCTCAAGGCAAGTGCTCTACTGCTTAAGCCACCATGACATTTCTGGTTTTCTGGTGATTTATTGGAGATAAGAATCTCACGGACTTTCCTGCCTGGGCTGGCTTTGAACCATGATCCTCAGATCTCAGCCTCCTTAGTAGCTAGGATTACAGGCGTAAAGCACTGGCGCCTAGCCATCTTGATCTTTATAACCTTTTCTTAACCCCTGTAGTAACCAGCTATAGTGAGTTCCCTCTAGTAACCAGCTCTAGTGAGTTTCTGTAAAAACTCCCAGGGATATTTATTAATGGGGGACAGGATTCTTGTTGGTGTTTCTGTGGGTAGCAGCATTCTGGGGTTGCCTCTGCTCAGTGGAACACTCGGGAATTTTTTTTAATAGAGAGTCCACATGACTTTATCCATTATCACAAAAGCTCCTCATTTCTTTTTCTGCAGAAATGTCTAAGGCAGACCCTACAAACTCACTGTGCTCAGCTTTCCCAACAGGAAACAGGAAAGAGATGGGCAGGCTTCCTTTCCCAGGGAGGCACAATCACGGGCAAGAACTTAAGATGCTCTAAGAGCTGGTCTTTGTGTACCTCATTGTGAAGAGACCTGGGAGACAAGGGGACAGCATTTGTACTTCTGAACTCATTCTGCAGACACCTGAGCGCTCTGTGTGTGTGTGTGTGTGTGTGTGTGTGTGTGTGTGTGTCCACCAGTTGCTCCCTGGGACACTAGAGGAGAATTTCAAGTTCACAGTATAATGATTAGAAATCTGGGTTTAAGACTGTGGGGTTTCTCAAGGTCTTTTCCAATTACTTCTGTCTCTTGAGACCTTTGCGATGGATTTAAATTCTCTAAGTCTGCTTGTCCAGAAAAAGGGAGCATAAAAACAAAAAACAAGTAAACAAATCTGACTTCTATGACAACGTAGAAGTTAGGGACTAGGACAGTCCAGGTTCATGGCATAAGAACTCATGGTTAGCTCTAGAAATCCATGCAATCTGTGCCAGACTCTTTCATCTCCCGGGACTTGGTGCTATATTCAATGCTGTTTTGCCAATCATTTGACCCTAGATTAGAGTTTAACCCCTGAGTTCCCTGTAGAGTTCAAGGTAATGCTTCTGTGGAGTACCTGCCACTGTTGCTCTGTCTCTTACACATGTCTATGGCTCATGAAGCTGTGGATTTCAGCTTTCTTTTTTCCCTTTTTTTGGTTGTGGGGCTTCGACTCAAGGCCTGGCGCTGTCCCTAAGCTCTTTTGCTCAAGGCTAGTACGCTACCATTTTGAGTCATGGCTCCACTTCCAGTTTTGGAGGAGTTAATTGGAGCTAAGTGTCTCATTGGGATTTTCCTTCCCAGGCTGGCTTTGCATCACAATCCTCAGATCTCAGCCTCCTCAGTAGCTAGGATTACAGGCATGAGCCACCACCAAGGCCCGGCCTGAATTTCAGCTTTCTGTCTTCTCTATTCCCTTCCTCTTATCATCATCATCTCCCAGGACCTATCCCCATACGTCACCAACTTTGGTCTCATCCTTTCTCCCCTTTACGGTTGGTCTGGTTCCATATGTTCATGTATCAACACAATCTGTAGCCCTGGGGTAGGTTTGCTGGGCTTCATTTTTCCATGGTGAATTTAGACCTATGTGCAGTTGAAATTTTTGGCTCAGACCCAAACCATACCTTTCATGGGTCTCTAATATTTGGGATAGGAGCTGATGACACATCTCTGCCAGTGAAGAAACTGGGTTATATTTGCATAATAGAGAGCGGGTGGACAATTCCTACTTGAATCGCCTCTGCCTACCTTTGGTCACATTATATCTCAATTTCCTTAAACTGCCTAGGTTTACTCTGCTGTATTAAGGAAAGGAACAAAAACATCTTTCTCACCATCTTTCTCTCCAGTCCTGCTTTAGAAGATACATTGTAAAGTATATTTAGGCCTTTTTTTAGAATACAGAAAAGATGATGAGTTATCAGGCTTTTTTTTTTTTTTTTAATAACTCAAGTACAATAGTAAGAATGGTGGGAAGAAAAGGCAAATTGAAATCTCAAGTTTCAGAAATGATACTTCAAAGGGCATTTTTTCCTTTTCTTTTTTCCTTTTCCTGAAGTGTTACTGAAATGTGTGTGTGTGTATGTGTGTGTTTTAAGTCATATCGAGTAGTGTTTTGGAAGACTTGAAAGAAGCTTGCTACCCAATTTGCATTTCATGTGGTCAATTCTTATTCAATGGAATAAATATAAGCAAACTAAAAATACTCTAGGGACACACACACACACACACACACACACACACACACACACACACACAAGCACATCATACATTGCTGATGTATTCGAAACCTTCTCCTCTTCTCTCACTTCATTTTGTGTTATTGGGTAGAGTGCATCTTCCACAAAGAGGTGTGAATGAGAAATCTAATAATACTCTGAACTAGAGGGAGCCAGCAGAGCTTGTTCATCCTAAAGCTGTGAGGCCATGTTGGGATACGACTGAGAGATGGCATCCACGGAGCTGGGAGGGGAAAGGCTTAACTTGCTTAACATCAGCTTCCTCCAGCTGAACAGCTGAGACAGGAGCTGGAGTTAAGTGTCACAGACCATCAAGTTATGTCACTGATGTTGGACAACTGTGGATAGGAGGAGACAATGCCCACATGTGGCTGACAAACGATGTGCCGCACACGGAAGAGTGCCTTCATCTCCAGCAGCTAGCTGGAGGCTCCCAGGGAAAGCCATTTGCTGGGCTCACAATGTCTCGTTTCCTCTGGAGAGAAATATATATATATATACTTCTATCATTGCTCATGGTGTATTAACTCATGGTGTAATACTCATCCTGTAGTACCCATTTCTATAACTTCCATCTTCTAAGAAAGGGCAATGGAAGATGCTGTCTCCAGGACACAGCTGAAAAGGAAAGAAATTTCCAGAGGGACAAGGAAACAATGGGAACTTATAATACAGTCCAGTAGCTAGAATGGACAAGGAGACAAGGGGTAGTTAATGTTTCTTCTTTCTCTTCTGTCTAGCAGTAGCTAAGCTAGATGTGATGGGAAGTAAGAAAGTTGGATTGTTCATGAAAATACCATCAGAGCTCAGGATTTAAAAAAAATCTGTCAGACATAACATGTTTAATTTACACCTGGCTATTCTGACTGACTGAACAATTTATCATCAGTTCCAGGTTGTCTCTCTTTGACATTCTACCCACGCACACATTTGCATGTTCCGAGGCTGTATAAAGGCAGAAATATTAAAACAAAACCCACACCGTGTTACAGTAGAATGATGTGTAATTTATTCATATAACTGACAGGCAGTACTCAAAATTCATTTAAGCAAGTGATTACACAAACATCTAATAATACTAAAATTTGAGAGTCCAAAAGTATAAAATACCACGGGTATGAAATGCCATGGTAAATACTATTCAACAGACTACAGTCATAATTCCAAACTAAACCACATTTTCTGGAAATGATTCTTTTAAGCTGTTTGAGAATAACTTTACTTTTCCCAAGCAATCTACTTCTTCCACGGAGATAAGTCATGATCCTTATTTTTGAGAAAGATTGCACAGTTCTCTCTCGTATTGCATTTTCTTGCAAATTGTTTTAAAATATTGCCCCTTGACATAGAACGCAAACCAGTCATCGTTTAAGTTCATCAAGCCAAGATGCTTGGATCAGAATCATGCTGGGGGTGACTCTGAGTTCAGCAGGAGGCAGGCAGTGAAAAATGATTTGCAGATTTTGAAATATGCTGACTTATTTTGTGGGGCTCTAGGCATCATAAACACATGAAGACATCCAAGCCAGTAGAATTATGGAAATAAAGTAATTCGATATCCAGATGATGAAGACACAATTGCTACTGGGATGAAGTTACGCTATAATTCTGTGGTACTTCACACAAAAACAGCTCCTACCTAAAGTGACTTCCTTGTAAGTCTTGATACATGGTCATGATCACATAGAAACAGCTCCTACCTAAAGTGATTTCTTGTAAATTTTGATACAGGGTCATGATGCGCAGCTATGTTTGAAGGAAGAGTTTGGCTTATCATGTGTCTGTCTGTATTATTTTAAAGTCTTCTATTTTATCAGAATGTGGTCCAAGCATGAACCAGGCTTGAAAAGCTAGCAGCAGTAGTCATGAGACACATCATTAAATTAAAAGGCTCTCACAGAACAAATTTCGGGCTATACTTCTTACATACAAAATACAGCTAGGAAAAGGAAGTCTGTAATGTTGAATTAAGAGGGAGGAAGAAAAACAATCTAAAAAAAAAATGGAAAACTCCATTCCTGGGTGTCAAGGCGAGATGTAACACTGTCAAACGCCACAATGTGAGCAGTCACTGGAAGACGCCTACTCCAGAAATAACGTACCTGGGGAATCTCAGAAGTATGACCAAGGGGTGAAAATACTGTACCAAAAGGCATGCATATAAGCACTGCGTGCATTCAATGTGAGCTGGGGCTTAAGTAAGAACTAACATGACAATGAGCCAGATTCCACTGGAGGGAGAGGGGGTGGGCGCAAGGGGGGGAACTACATGTTGATTAAACCTTCGGAGGCAGCGAAATGTGGGCACAGCGCCATGTCTGGGTTTTGTAGCTGTTTTAGGATCCTCTTACGAAACTTCTCCCGCACACGATTAAATTCCATTATGTCCATGGGGTCCTCTTCAATCCAAAACTTGTGAAATTCGTGCATCAAGTAGCCTGTTACAGAGTAGACAATGGAGAACACAGGAGAGGGCTGAGCTCTTGAACCACATCCAAATTCATGCTGAATGAATGAGACCCAAACAACAGGAACCATGCAGCCCCAAAGACATCGAAGTTGAGCAAATATGATTGTTGAAGATTGTTCTTGAGCATCTGAGGCTTAAAAAAAAATAATGATCTGGCATGATTGTATAAGGGGGCGTTAGGAGGAGAGGTACCAAAGGGTGGGGAGAGGAGGAAAGGAGAGAATGATGGGTGAGTAAATGTCACAGAAGAAACATGTATATATATATATATGTGTATATATGTACATATAAATATGTATATATGTATGGAAAAGTATAATAGTAATATGGAAATAGCGTAATGTCATAATAGAAATATATATATATATTAAAAGGAGGGGGAGGTAGGAGGGTGGTTAAGAGTAATACAGAGGGGGTGGATTTCACCTAAGTATATGGTATGCAACTATTACAATGAAGCAACCTTCTAAAATTAAATTATGCTAAGTACCCAAGGGCTGGGGATAGATTGGAGATTGTTTGCTTCTCATGCTCAAGGCCCTAGGTCTGATCTCCAGCCGGATTAGAAAGCAGAGACTTAGATACTTGTATGCATAAGTTCCCAACAGCATTTCTCACCATTACCAAAAAGTAAAACCAACCCATGTGTCCATCAACAAATGAACTACTCAAGTAGAAACAATTTACCTGATTCTTTTTTAAAAAAATAGAAACAAGAAAGGCTACAACAGCGATAATCCTTGAAAATATCATTCTGAGTGAAATGAGACACACAAAACCAGTGTGATCCTACTTTTAGACCATGACTATGGATGGGGCAGGAAGGAAATAAGGGCTCGGGGAGAGAGGATGTGGAAAGTTACTGCTGAATGAATGCAAAAGTTCTGATTGGAGTGATGGAAACATTTTGGAAATGAATAGTGGTGAGGCTGCACATTGTAAACATAATTGATGCCACGGAATTAAATACTTCCAATTGCTGTAATTGGAAATTTTGTGTTACTTAGATTTTTACCACAATAAAAAAAAACTCTAAACCATGAAAAAGCTTATTCTTTAATACTAGGAGAGCAGCAGCTAATCATCTGCACAGTTTTTTTTTACAATGACACTTAGAATTATTCTCACTTCCAAAAAGCAAGCACCTAACTTGATTCTGCCATCTCTTGAATATGAATCATATCGGGAACATATCTAAAAGATCAACAGAGACTTCTTCATTCTTCTTCTCCTAATTAAATGAACATGCTGGTCTTCTCTTTCACAATGATTTCACTTTGCCTTTTTTTTCTCTAGAATATCTTTGGTTCAACTGCGTTTTAAATTACTGTGACAAATCAAACAAATGCATGCTGACAATCTATTATAAGAAAATAAGAACTATAAATTAACTCTGAACAGCACAAATTTGTCATTAGACAATGTGAAATTGTTAATAGACTTTCTAGCTCTGAAAACTCCATGGAAAAGGAGACTAATTCTTTTCCTTCTCTTTCCCTCCCTTTTTCCCTCCCTCCTTACCCTTCATCTCCCCGTTCCTTTTTTTCCTTCCTTCTACATAATTTGACTTGTCTTAGAATTCAAACCCACTTGAGTTATTTGGTATCAGATTTCTTTTTATTATTATTTTTTAATTGTTGTAAAGGTGATGTACAGAGGGGTTATTTCATGTTAGGTAATGAGTACATTTCTTTTTGGACAATGTTACCCCTTCCTTTGCTCTAGTTAGCTTTCTTTCTTTCCTTCCTTCCTTCCTTCCTTCTTTCTTTCTTTCTTTTTTTTTGGTTGGTCTTGGGGCTTGAACTCTGGGCCTGGGCAGTCCCTCAGCTCTTCAGCTCAAGATAAGTTTGCTCTACCACTTGAGCCACAGAACCACTTCTGGTTTTCTGGTGATATGGTTATAAGAATCTCATGGACTTTCCTGCCCAGGCTGGCTTTGAACCGTGATCTTCAGATCTCAGCCTCCTGAGTAGCTAGGATAACAGGCATGAGCTACCTGTGCCCAGCTCCAGTCAGGTTTCTAACACCATAAATTCAAACTATCTGTAATGTATCTCATTAGTGTCTCCTGGATAAACAGCATCTTTACTTCTATTGACAGTGATGAACAAGCTCTGTGGAAAATCATCTTTTTTTTTTTTTGTCAATCATAGGGCTTGAACTCAAGGCTTGGCCACTGTCCCTGAGCTTTTGTGCTCAATACTAGTGTTCTACCATTTTTTTTTTAAATTTAATTTTATTTTATTTGTGAACATACTGTACAGAGGGGTCAGTGTTCTACCATTTTGAGCCACAGTGCTGCTTCTGGTTTTCTGGTAGTTAATTGGAGATAAGAGTCTCACAGACTTTCCTGCTTGGGCTGGCTTTGACCTGAGATCTTCAGATCTCAGCCTCCTGAGTAATTAGGATTACAGGCGTGAGCCACCAATGCCTGGCTGAAAATCACCTTAAAAAATTAATTGTAAAAACTGATAGGAAGGAGGCAATGTGAGCACTATAGACATGTATATAATGTGGAATAATCAAACAAGGCAGGTAGCATTTCTATCTCCTTTTTTGTCTTGAAAGGCTTAAACAATGGCTAGGAGATCAGGACCGAGGTGGGTCATTATTGAACATTACCCTTGCAATGTTTCCTTCTAAGGGTACAAACTTAAACGGTAAAGCTTGTAGACATAGTCCTTGGAACCCTCTCACCCATCAGGAAAATAAGTAGAGTCCATAGATAGTGATCTCAATAAAAAAAAATGCAGACGTGGTAGACTGGATTCCAAGGTATACAGTATAATAATGCAATACTACAGTGTTAAAAAAATTCATTGGGCTAATTGCTTAGTCCATCTGCCAAAGAACATACAAATAAAAGAGACACGACATTAGATCAGATAGAAATCCTGTATTCTTTCATTCTTGTTCTCTTGAAGAAAAGGAGATGGGTACCATGTCAGCTGATGATCTGTTAGCCAAGGGAGCTAAGCAGGGAGTGCAGAAAAGAGGACCATCTCTCACTTACTTTACGCCATAGCTGTGTGGCATAGGCAGATGCTACATCTCCACTTTACAGAGGACAGGGCTCTTGAATGGTGCCCAATTACACAATTACAGCTGGAAACCAACATCTGAAAGCAGCTAGTTTTCTACCACTATACTGGGCTGCTTTTCTTAGTATGTTCTTTGTCCTTCTTGATAGCTCTTTTAAGGGTCAAAGGAAAAAAAATGCCCTTTTCTCTCTGACCATTGTAGTTTTCTCTCCTCACCACACCTAACGTCACTCCATTTCAATAGGGCTGTGTTCAGTGGGGCTTTAGGTAATTTTTGTAGCACATTGCCTTGGCAGGGCAGTATTCACTGAATAGGACCATAAAGGCAGAATGATAGAGACATTATATTCTGATATTCTCCCACCTGGCTAAAATACTTGCTTTGAATACTAATTTGGCTTTCCACTGCCAACCTGCCATGTATTTATTGCTACTTGAATGTGTCTTGGCCTTGCTTCACCGCATCCAGTTAAGAGAGAGCAGAATTGCATGCAAGGACACAGATAATTGCAAGACTATTACAGAGGAGATGTGCAGAACTCATCATGTTCCACGGAAGGAAAATGAATCTAGGGCACCCGTTTACTTCTGCTAAAGTCTCCCTGAGCCCCTACGCTTCTCATCTAATCTATGGGGGATTGCTGTTTCCAAACAATGAAGAGTGCTCTACTTCATCTTTACTCACCAGGCTAGGATTTTTATCAGTTTGGTCAGGGCTAACATTTCCCAGATCAATCAGACTTTCCTTTCCTCTACAAAGAAAAACATCCAACATTCCATCCATCCACCCATCCATCCATCATCCATTCACACATCCATTACTGAGTGCTTGCGATGTATGAGCCTCTGTGCAAAACAAACATTCCTACCTTTAAATGCCAATTCCCTATGATGTTAACTTGAACTACTGCCCTGAAGAGATCTCTTACTGTGTGGCTCTGATCCCACCTCAGCTCTGATGAATTCCAAATCCGTAGCTTGAGCCCTTCTTATTCTGCAGTTTTCGAGCCTTAGAGTGACCATTCTGTCCTCCATACGGATTTCCCAAAAGGAGTTTGTTTTCACTTTGCCTAAAATTAAACTCATTCTAGTTTCTTTCAAAACTACTCCCCTGATTTCCCTAAAGTGTATTGAAAGTGTATTCCCTTTAGGATTATTCTTATTTTGTAAAAACAATATCTTTTAGGAGCTTCCGGATGAAGGTACAGTGTAAAATGTTTAATAACTTGCATGTAAAAAAGGTCTTTATTTTACTTCAATACTTAATTGGTAAGTTAGGTGGGACTAGAATTCAAAACTGGAAATAATTTTCCTTTTACACTTTACTAATTTTTTTTGTTGTTGGTTATGGGGCTTGAACTCAGGGCCTTGGTGTTATCGCTGAGCTCTTTTGCTCGAGGCTAGTGCTCTACCACTTTGAGCCAGAGGTCCACTTCCAGTTTTTGAGTGGTTAATTGGAGATAAGAATCTCGGGGAAGGGGTCTTTTCTGCCCCCACTGGCTTTGAACCACCATCCTCAGATCTCAGCCTCATGAGTAGCTAGTATTACAGGCACGAGGCTTTATTAAATTCTTGTTTGCGTTATTCTATTGTGCCGTAGAACACAGTACTGATGTGGAGAAGTCAAATGTCATCTTAATTCCAGACTCTTATGGGACGGTTTGGAAATTTCCAGAATTGTCTCTTTCCTGTGTCATAACAGTCTCAGAATCATATGGATCTTGTTGGGGATCTATTTTAGTCTATTTCTGAAAGCTTTTCACAATTGCTTTCTTTGGTTCCCTTCCCTTGGTTTTCACTTTTTCTGATACTTTCATTCTTCAGGCATAAGAGTACCTAGGTCTTTTCATTTTTCAACTTTTCTTTTTTTTTCTTTTGAACTCAGGACCTGGGCTCTGTCCCTGAGTCTCTCTGTGCTAAAGGCCAGTGCTCTACTACTTGAGCCACTTGAGCACCACTTCCAGCCTTTTCTGTGTATATGGTACTGAAGAATCAAACCTAGGGCTTCATGTATGCTAGGCAAGCACTCTACCACTAAGCCACATTCCCAGTCCTAATTTTCTATTTTTTTTGTCATCAGTGCTTTTATGTTCCACTTTCTGATCATTTTTTGACTCTTCTAATTACTTTTTAAAATTTATTTTTATTTTTAATGTTCTTTTATTCTATAAAGGTGATGTAGAGAGAGCCTATAGTTACATAAGTCAGGTAGCAAGTACATTTCTTTCTGGACCATATCATCCCTCCCCTTGCTCTCTCCCAGCCATGAGCAAGTTTTTCAACTTTATCTTCTAGTCTTAAGAGATTTCATTTCTGCTACAACACATAGAGATCCAACAGTTTACTCAGGCTGCCTGCAGAGCTATGCTATCCTAGATAAGGAGAAAGATACTTAAGGCATCTTACAGTCAGTCCAGAAGTTGACTGGCTGGATTTCATGTAAGAGCTTTCTAGAAAAGAAGAAAATTCATGATGCCTGAAAATGTTAGAATGAAAAACAAACAAAATAACACATACCAAAGGATGAATTTCAAAGGGCCTACACAAAGCAACCAAGTCACAAGTGTTTCGCCTTTGACTTTTTTATTTTGTCGGTCGTGGGGCCTGAACTCAGGGCCTGGGCACTGTCCCTGAACTCTTCAGCTCAAGGCTAGCACTCTGCCACTTGAGCAGCAGCACCACTTCCAGTCTTTTCTGTTTATGTGGTGTTGAGGAATCAAACCCAGGGCTTCCTGTATGTGAGGCAAGCACTCTATCACTGAGCCACCTTCCCAGCCCCTCACCTTTGACCTTTGTTCTTTAGAAATCTCTATGGATAGTTAAACACCAGAACACTTACAGAATGTTTGCTGAAAGTGAGACAAGGTTGGAGCTTCTGGGGCAATGTTGTAGAAGTGGGTTTTTAGAGCTCCGCTCACCAGAAGATTATAGGCCAGGTCGGTGATATTGATGCCCACAATTGCAAAGGAGTACCTGCAAGTGAAAGTCAGAAAACCAACAGTGTCACACAGACAGGAAGCAAGACACTTTGCAAACTGATTAACCTGAAGCTGAAATTCCTTTTCAACTTATGTGAGTAGAAAGTTATTCTTCTGCCTGGCGCTGGTGGCTCACGCCCGTAATCCTAGCTGCTCAGAAGGCTGAGATCTAAGGATCATGGTTGGAAGCCAGTGTGGGCAGTAAAGTCTGAGATTCTTATGCAATTAATCACAGACAAAGCCAGAAGTAGTGTTATGGCTCAAAATGGTAGAGCACTAGCCTTGAGTGCAAAAGCTCAGGAACAGCACCCAGGCCCTGAGTTCAAGCCTCAGGACTGGCAAAAGAAAAAAAAAAAAAAAAGAAAGTTTTCTTCTCTACAATGTTGACGTTTTGACTTTTGTAATTTATCATCATACACTTTCTCAAGAAAACAGAGTGCATATATACTTTGACTTGGTAATTCATATGATAGAAATATACCTGAAGTAGATTAAACTCTACACTATATTATTATAGTATGATTCATAATGTCAAGATAGGGAAACTTCTAAAGAAGTAAATAAACATCTTAAGGAAGATGGCTAGAAAAATAAGCCAGGGTAATATGTAATGTATTACAGTCAGCTAATTATATATATACATATATATATATATATATATATATATATATATATAATTTTTTTGGGGGGGGGTTGGTCATGGGGCCTGAACTCTGGGCCTGGGCGCTGTCCCTCAGCTCTTCAGCTCAAGGCTAGCACTCTACAACTTGAGCCACAGTGCCACTTCTGGATTTTTCTGCTTATGTGGTGTTGAGGAATCAAACCCAGGGCTCATTCATGCAAGGGAAGCGCTCTAACACTGAGCCACCTTCCCAGCCCCTAAAACTATATTCTTAAAGACTAAGCATGAGTAAAAAGAACCAAGTTTTCTCATACATACACATATATGCATGGAAAAAGGCTAGAATGAGGCTCTATAAAACATTAATTTAGGTATGCAAAAATAGTAAGATTGGGATGACTCTTTTGGTTTTCTTTCCCAGGTCTTCTACATTTTAAAAAATAAATCATACTGATTTTTTTTTTTTTTTTTTTTTTTTTTAGGAAATAGGGACATCTATTAGCCTATTACCTGTTATCAATTTTATACTACTTTCAAAACCAGGTAAGGAATTCAACAAAAACATTAACAAAAAATCTACTGGCCAATTTCCTTTAAGAACATATGTAAAAAATCTCTCAACTAAATGCCAATAAATTCAATATAAACATCACAGCCAAGAACTATTTGTCCTCTATGGTATGGAAGCTTGATTCATATTTTTTAAGTCAATTAACATTTTTTCTACTTCCTGTGTGTTCTTAAAAAAATTATTGTCAAGGTGATATACAGAGTGGTTACAGTTACATAAGTAAGGTAGTGATTACATTTCTTGTCTAACTTGTTACCCCTCCCTCATTTTTCTCCCTCTTTACCCCCCCCCACTCCCACTCCCCAAGTTGTACAGATCATTTCCAACATATTGTCTTGTGAGTATTGCTGATATTGATTTTCAACGGAGGAAAAACTTAACTCTATTAGTATAAAGTATATTTTCTAGTCTCTTTTCGATGTATATATTAAAAATGGAAAGGAAGCCAGGTGCCCTGTTATCCTAGCTACTCAATCTGAGGAGTGTGGTTTGAAGCCAGCCTGGGCAGGAAAACCTGTGGGGCTCTTATCTCCAATGAACTACCAAAAAGCCAGAAGTAGAGCTGTGGCTCAAGTGGTAGGGCACTAGCCTTGAGCAAAAGAAGCTGAGACAGTGCCCAGGCCCTGAGTTCAAGCCCCAGAACTAGCATGAAAAGAAGGGGTAGGTATGAATTCTCAAACCTTCTTTGTTGCTACCAATCTAGCACAGAACTATGTCTGGATGAAAGGCATTATCGGAAAAAAAGTGTTTAAAGTACATTTTTCTCTAATAGCCCCATACTTGGTAGAAAACCTTAAGAACTGACAAATCCATCTCTAAGTGATATATTTTGAAAATGATGTCCTTACAGCTGTAACTTTCTTTATCTTGGCAGTGGATTAGAGATAAAGTCATACATAATCACACAATTAAGTCTAGAAACATAAATGGGTCCTTCTGAAAAATATCTGGGTTTCACATTCCATCAGGACAAGTGGAATTCCATCCTGTCATCGTTCACAGCACTCCGAGGACATTTTGTGCTGTATCTCGTTCAGACTCACAATCTTTACTTAAGTGAGATTTGCACTCACCCAATTGCTTTATCCATCCTTTTCTTCTCCCATTCTGCTTTGCTGAACTTACTAAAAGAACAAAGAAATAAACAAATACCATTTAATCTTAATAGATATTCACTTTCTTGTGCAAAACTATTAACTATGTGTCTGTACCTTGGCTACCCAAATGCTGATCTAATGAATATCATCAGCGTTAAAAACAACAGTATGAGCAGAACATGGCAATAGTTGGAGGACTGGAAAAGGAGGCTCATGAGCTGGAGGCCAGCCTACGCTACAGTGTGAGAACCTGTCTTAGTAAAACAGAACAACACAAAAAGCAACAATGCAATTTCATATGAAGTTCATAAGCAGACTTATTTGAGATTGTGAATTAACCCGCAATTCGCTTTAGTATTAAGATATTTTTAACATCAAGACATTCCTTAACATTAGCCTCATCACAGACTACCTTTTTAGTGAAAGCTTGCCTGCCCTCATCTCCTTCTCCCCTGACTAGAAGTTGCTTCACGCTAAGGATTCTCCACTGGATTTTGCTTTGTTTTTATCTCAAGGTATTTATCCCACTACAGCCTATTTATGACCCTGGATCACATTTTCCAAATAAATGTTTTATTGGTAAACAAATGATAGAATAAAGAGAAGGGGGAAAGAAAGAAGGAGGGCAAAGAAGAGGAAAGAGGAAGAGAGGAAGGAAAGAAAAGAAGGAAAACAGGAAAGAAGAAAAGAAAGGAAGGAGGGGCAAATGGAGTAAGAGAGGGAAAGAAAAGAAGAAAGGAAGAAGGAAGGAATGTAGGGGAGAAGGAAGAGAAAAAGGAAGGAAGAATGGGACAAAGGAAGAGGAAAAAGGAAGGAAGAAGGAAAGGAGGAGGAAAGGGGGGACAAAGGGAAGGAGGGAAAACACGAGGAAGGAACGGCATACAAAGCTTAAAACCTCTGTTCCAACAAGTGCTAGGACATTTCCCTGGTTAAGCTAAGACAGCTAAGCCATAACAGCTCCATTTAATCCATTTCCTGACTTGAACTTCTGAATAAAACTGTGCTTATTTGTCTATCTCCCTCCACTGCTGAGGTCTTGTAGGGGAGAAGATTGTTCTGCTCTTCCTCCTGAACGATGTAACCTTTATTCGAAGGGTCACATTAGAAACAACAATCACAACAAAACACAAAATACCAGTTAGCGTTGGAACTAATCATTTTGAAAGTAGAGTCCTGAAAGCTTAGCTCTCATCTGAAGTAGGAGAAAGCTGAGTTCTCTGGAATGCGTGACAAATGCTATGTTACGAAGCGCGTACACTATACACACAAGACCACAACTAGAAAGTATTATAAGATACACACAGCACACTACCACAATATATACCACATCAAACACACAGCATACAAGCACAAAATATCATGCAAAGGAGTTACCTTAGTAACTATGCTTTCTACCCTGCAAATGACTGGCTATGACTCAAAGTACCTGCTTTAAAGTCATGTTAAGGTGGCAGCTGTTTTTTTTTTTAAATATAATTTTATTGTTCTTATTGATAATTGTGTTGTACCGAGGGGGTTGCTAGTTCATAAGTCAAGGAATGAGTACATTTCTTATTTTGGACAATGTCACCCCTTCCTTCATTTTCCCCTAGTTTCTCACTTCCAGCCCTGCCCACAAGTTTCGTGGCTCATTTTTCATGTAGTGTACACTGTTAACATGACTGCAATTGTTCACTCTTCTTCCCTCCTTTTCTGTGCCCCTCCTTTCCCCCTTCTTAAAACAAACAAACAAAAAAAACAAAAACCAAGCTGGGCACTGGTGGCTCACACCTGTAACCCTAGCTACTCAGGAGGCTGAGATCTGAGGATCGTGATTCAAAGCCAACCCAGGCATGAAAGTCTATGAGACCCTTATCTACAATTAACTACCAGAAAACCAAAAGTAGAGCTGTGGTTCAAAGTGGTAGAGTGCAGGCCTTGAACAAAGGAGCTCAGAGACAGCACCCAGGCCCTGTGTTCAAGCCCCACAGCTGGAGGGTGGGGGGGGGGGGCCCAAACCAAAGCAAAAACAAACACTTGAGTCAATTTGAAGCAATTAATACATGAGTTTCAATGTGTTCAACAGTACAGTGATTTGATGGATAAAGTATGATATCTATCTATCTATTTTTTTTTTTTTTTGCCAGTCCTGGGCACTGTCTCTGAGCTTCTTTTTGCTCAAGGCTAGCACTCTACCACTGAGCCATAGTGTCACTTCCAACTTTTTCTGTTTATATGGTACTGAAGAATCAAACCCAGGGCTTTATGCAAGCTAGGCAAGCACTCTACCACTAATCCATATTCCCAGTCCCTGATAATTTTATTTACATGTCTATACACATGTATGACACACACCGACATAAACATCAGTCTCTTCTTAGATAAATGTAGCCATGCAAACTCTCAAATAACTCCTCTCTGATGGCTGGCATAGGAGCTACAAATTAAAATCATGTATTTTTATTTATTTATTTTTGAGAATGGTTCACAGACCAACTTAATCTCCCTCCAATGAAGATTTCAAATCTTCAAATGAAGACTTGAAGCTTCGCATATCTTCTGACTGATATTCCTTTAGGAAAACCAGCGTGGACACATGGAGACCCTCAGCCAATTTTAGTTGGGAGGGAGTTAGTTCACAGGCTCCATATTACAGAAATATGCAATTGACAGGATATAGTTAAAAACTCAAAATAGCATCCTGTCAGCTATGCACTGTATCACAAAAAACAAAGTGATTTTAATATTTTTCTTAAAGAAAAAGAAAAATTTTATATATTAGAGAAGCTTACAAATACAAAGGGGCAGAGTGCAATATAATTTAATGAACCCTGACCAAATGGGGCTAGGGTGGAGGACTCCCCCAAAGTCAACCTCCTCCTGAATACTGAGAATATTAGGATAGAATTCATAATGCATAAGCCTTATGAATAAACACTAACAAATAAGCTGCAGTGGTGCCAAGGAGAAAATGACACAAAACCATGAGGGCAAAATACTGGAACTCACCTTAGAAGAAAAGCAACTAACAATGCACACACACACACACACACACACACACACACACACACACACGCACAGAGTAACTATAATAATCAAATTAGAAATAGGTTAATAAAAGAATAACTTTTCTTTGTGCAACAAAATCCCCAATTAAACATCCCTCTTGGGGATTCCATTCTGTGTGAAGTGGTGGTCAGCCTTTAGGTGATGGGTCTTTTAGATGAACTCTTCCTCCAGCCACGTTCACCTGTGGCTGAACAAAAGGCCCCTTTGCCATTTTTCCATCTGCTTAGTTTCACCTGATTTGCAGCTAAGAAAAACAGTCCTCAAAGAATGAATTACATGAAAACTTGGTAGATGCAGTATTTTTTAAAAAAATAAATCTGTATCTTTTTTTACAAATTCTTACCCCAATGCATTCTAAAATAAAATAAAGGAAATGAAACACAAAAGCAAAGACAAAATACCTTATTTCCTCTTTAGTGATATCCCTTCACGAATTCAGTAAAAGAAAAAAAATGTTAAGAAAGGTAAATGAAAATGCAAATAGAATTTGGATATGATGGTGGTAGAAAAAAAGGCACAATAATTCTAGACTATCTCAGGTAGTTCTTGGGGTCAAGGCCTGGGTGCTGTCCTGGAGGATTTTTTGCTCAAGGCTAGTGCTCTACCACATGAGCCACAGTTCCACTTCTAACTTTTTGGTAACTGGAGATAAGAGTCTCATGGCTTCTCCTGCCTAGGCTGGCTTTGAACCACGATCCTCAGATCTCATCTTCCTAAGTAGCTAGGATTACAGGCGTGAGCTACTGGCATCTAGCTGGTCCCTGATTTCTTTTTTTTTGTCAGTCATGGGGCTTGAACTCTGGGCCTGGGTGCTATCCCTGAGCTCTTTAGCTCAAGTGAGCACTCTACCACTTGGGCCACAGTGCCACTTCCTGGTCCCTGATTTCTTGACTTCCATGCTCCTTCCTATTTCCAGTATACCCTCTTAGGTATCTATCCACTGTTTCTCTCAGACCCAGTCCTCCTGAGTCTTTCAGGACATGAGTGACATAATCAGTCCCTTTAAATACATATCCCTCTTGAACGAGGCACTTGACATCTTAATCCAAGAATCAATGCTCAAAGAGTTCACCATCTATTCGACAAAAGGGCTTGTTTGGGAGAGTTGTAGGCCTCTTGATAATCTCACTTGTAGAGCTATCTTAAAGATGGCCTTTGCCTAACCTATTAAGCCCAATCCATCCTTCACCAGTTACCTGCATTTTGGATGAAGAGAGTCAGAAAGGACCTGCTGAGCCGCTGTCGTGTCCCTTTCTGCAAAATACCTGCAGTGGGAGAGAAAATGAACTGTAACTCTGAGTCCGCTGAATACATTTACTTTGCTCCAGCTTCAGGCCAGGTGAAATTCAGAGATACCCACATAAGATGACCCCTTAATAAGGTTATCAGAGGCATAAAATTATCACTTGTTTCAGAGAGAGAGCTGAAACATTTCATCTCTAAAAGAATCAGCAGAAAAGCAAGTACTTCACAAAAGGACTTCATAAAAGTACCTTGTAAAGGCAGTGAGCATATAAAAGCAAAGCATACATGATTTAATTGGATGTTCATATAAGTTTATCTATACACGTAGAGAGTAGCACAGGTTCTTGAATTTCCTTTCAGAAAAATTTAGATCAGCAATTTCATTATGTGTCTGTGATTATTAATGAGATTGAGTTTCATTTCATCTTTTGGTTGTCCTTTGGGGCTTTTTTTCTTTCTCTTTAAAAAATTTTTTTGTGCTAGTACAGGGGCTTGAACTCAGGGCCTCATATTCTTGCTTAGCTTTTTCCTTCAAGGCTGCCACTCTACCTCTTGAATAACACCTCCACTTCCAGCATTTTGTTGTTTAATTGGAGATAAGAGTCTCTCAGACTTATGTGCTTTGAGCCTTGATTTTCAGATCTCAGCCTCCTAAGTAGCTAGGATTATCGGCATAAGCCACCAGAGCCTGGCTAATCCACGTCCTTGATTGTTAAGATCTATTTGCGATTCACTCATTCACATTACCTGATGATGTAGCATTTCAGACATTTCATAAAACAATAGATGGTGAGTCAACTCACTAAACTTAAAGGGAAAGAGTTAAAAAGAGAGCGAGATGCCATCCAAACCAGCTAAATGTATTTCTCCCCTCGCAGAGTGATGACAACAGACAAGAGCCAAAGTGAAAAGAATTCTGTGGTTCGAAAAATGATGACTACTGATGAGTATCAATAAAAAAAAAATAAGTGCAGGGGCTGGGAAGGTGGCTCAGTGGTAGAGCGCTTGCCTTGCACTCATGAGGCCCTGGGTTTGATTCCTCAGCACCACATAAGCAAAAAGAAAAAAGCCGGAAGTGGCGCTGTGGCTCAGGTGGTAGAGTGCTAGCCTTGAGCTGAAGAGCTGAGGGACAGCGCCCAGGCCCAGAGTTCAGGCCCCACAACTGGACCCCAAAAAAAAAAAAAAAACAAAAAAAAAATAAGTGCAATTAGCTGAATCACAGTAAACACATACAAACGCTAAGAGTTAAATTCTATTTCAAAAACAGAGAAGCCAAGTCTGTAATCCTAATTAATCAGGGAGCTGAGATATGGAGAATCACGGTTCAAGGCCACCCTAGGCTAAGTTCCCTAGCTAGATTCTACCTCTAAAATAACCAACAAAAAGCAGGGTTGGAAGTGTGGCTCAAGTAGTACAGAACCAGCATGAGGCTCAAAGCCCAGAAAAAAAGTAAAAAAAAAAAGTTTTGATCATTAAGCAGAAAACTAGGGCATCAACTCCTTACTAGATAACTAGCAACCGAATAGAAAAACAGAGCAACTGTCCATTTGTGTTTCAGAGAAACCAAATAAACATAGTTGATAAAGGAGATGGTGTCTATAAAGTTCTGGCCAACAGCGGTGGGAAGGAGAACAGAATCAGAAAAGCCAGATCAGGTGGTTCAGAGGAGATTATGGAAGCAGGAAAGGCAAATGACCCACTAGGCTAGGATGGTTTGACCCATCTGAGCACAAAGCTGTGAGTACCACATATCTCCCCCATGATGACAACCCAGTTACTTTAAGCCTTTCGGAATGCCTCCAATTTCCAGAAAATACAGAACATGGTGCAAGCAGACAAATCCTCATCATGGAACACTTCTTTTTTTTTTTGGGTCCAGTCATGGGGCCTGAACTCTGGGCCTGGGCGCTGTCCCTCAACTCTTCAGCTCAAGGCTAGCGCTCTACCACTTGAGCCACAGCGCCACTTCTGGCTTTTTTTCTTTTTTGCTTATGTGGCGCTGAGGAATCGAACCCAGGGCCTCAGGCATGCAAGGCAAGCGCTCTACCACTTCCCAGCCCCCCATGGAACATTTCTGTAAGACATTTCTATGATCTTGAATCCAACTCATGACACAGAAGAGGGCGGGGGAAAGGACAATCAGGGGAGAGTGTACAACTGATCCAAGTGCAATGGGTGGTCTGATGTGGATTGAATTTGAAAAAAAGCTAAGTTTTAAAAGACACTCTTGGAAGAATTGGACAAATTGAATATGGACTTTTTTTTGTCAGTCGTGGGGCCTGAACTCTGGGCCTGGGAGCTGTCCCTCAGCTCTTCAGCTCAAGATGAGGGTTTTCTACCACTTGAGCCACAGCACCATTTCCAGTTTTCTAGTGGTTTATGGGAGATAAGAGTCTCACAGACTTTACTACTTGGGCTGGCTTTGAACCGTGGTCCTCAGATCTCAGCTTCCTGAGTAGCTGGGATTACAGGCGTGAGCCATTAGCGCCCAGCTGAATATGGATTATTGTGGAGTGTTAGAAGATTTTTTGAAGAACCCCAAACATCAACACTGCATTATATTAACAGTTGCTGCTAATAGAATGCAATAAATCTTGCAAGGAAATATTGACATATTGGAATGAAAGGGATGAAATAATAAATGGCATAGGGTTTTCGTTAACACGTTTATGTCCAAAAAATCACGGTGCAAGAATTTCCATCCTTGACAATTCCTGCTTTGAGGTGGTCAGTGTAAGGCGCTATTTTTTTTCAAACCATCTTCTTTACATTTTTTTTCGCATGTTTGAAGTTTTTCATCATACTGAAGTTTTAACAATATATTTCAAAATGGATGGACCTAAAACAAATCATGTTAAGTGAGGTTATCCAAGCTCAGAGAGGTAAACAGTGCCTGTTTTCTCTCATATGTGGAAGCTAGATCTAAAATATACCGAGACACGATAAATTATACAGGACATTCACACAGTGAAACCGAAGGAGCAAACTCTTAGGGGAGGAACACAAAGACACAATGCCCACATGCCTCTGATCATATAAAATAGTATTTATCGGGCTGGGAAGGTGGCTCAGTGGTAGAGTGCTTGCCTTGCATGCCTGAGGCCCTGGGTTCGATTCCTCAGCACCACATAAGCAAAAAGAAAAAAAAAAAAGCCGGAAGTGGCGCTGTGGCTCAAGTGGTAGAGCGCTAGCCTTGAGCTGAAGAGCTGAGGGACAGCGCCCAGGCCCAGAGTTCAGGCCCCACGTCTGGACCCTCAAAAAAAAAAATAATAAAATAGTATTTATCAAGATGAACTCCAGGAAATGGAAAAAAATAATATGTTTGAGATTTGCTTTAAAATGCATGACATCGGTTGACATAGGAAGAAAATGCAGGCATTTTTTAAACAAAATGTTGTAAACCTGAGTTTCCTTTGAGAGGATGTTTTTATGGAGTCTTTTAGGCAGGGACTTCTGGCCCTAGTAACTGTACTTGGCCATTTCAATACATGAACACCAGAATATCACTCAACTACTCAATTACTCTTCATTTTACTTACTGCAAATTATAGAGCCCCAGAAGTCCCATTCCTCGAAAATCTGTTTTAGGATCATCACCTTGGAAACCAATTTCACACCATTGCTTAGAAATCCGAGCTTCCAGGGGAGTATTGGGCTTTAAGAATTTCCATAACTGGAAGCAAAAGAAAAGAATCATGCTGGTGGTTATAGACACACACAAATATCCTTTCCTGTCGGTAGAGATTATGGGAGTTACATTATTAGCAGAGGAGCTGCAAAGTGAGACAGATGCAACTAGATCACAATTAAAGATATATCCTCTTCCAATTTCTGTAATAACAATTCTCAAAGTATGGGCTGAAGACTCGTTGGAGGCACTGAGGCTGTTTTGGCCTGGGTGAAAACAAAAACAAAATACTACTTCACAATAAAATCAAGAAGCTATTTGCTTTTCATTCTGATGTCGGGAGTGAACTGTGGGATTTTCCCAGAAAGTGTATGACATGTCATACACATGATATCATTGCTCCAACGGCAAGAGGATATATAGTTGGATATTTTAGTGTTTTAAACTTTCTCATCAGAAATGAGGTAGACAAAGAGACAGATCATCTTCTATATAAAAAAAGCCCTTTGGAACTGTCTAAAATATTTAAGGGTATAAAGAGAAAGAACAGGAGAAAAATTGAGGATGTAGATTATCCCACACCACAGAAAATACTTTCCTTAACATCCTGTCAAACCATTAAGCATTCTGGCTTGAAGTTTTTAGTCTAGAAAACTGCATGACTCGATGTGTTGTTTAGAAATCTCCCTCCAGAGGTATTTTAGAAGATTGAAGAAAGGATCTTAGCTGGGCACCGGTGGCTCACACCTGTAATCGTAGCTACTCAGGAGGCTGAGATCTGAGGATCGAGGTTCAAACCCAGCCTGGGCAGGAAAGTCCGTGAAACTCTTATCTCCAATAAACCACCAGAAAACCGGAAGTGGCACTGTGGCTCAAGTGGTAGAGCACTAGCCTTGAGCTGAAGAGCTGAGGGACAGTGCCCAGACCCAGAGTTCAAGCCCCATGGTGGACAAAAAAAAAAAGTTATGGAGGAATTAAAAGACTATCATTATCTGACTTATGAAATGGCAACCCCTCTGTACAACACCTTAATAATAATAATAATAAAATTATATTTTTTAAAAAGACTGCCAATGCTGGGTGCCAGTGGCTCATGCCTATGATCCCATCTACTCAGGAGGCTGAGATCTGAGGATATCTGTTCAAAGCCAGCCTGGGCAGGAAAGTCCGTGTGACTCTTATCATCTCCAATAAACCACCAGAAAACTGGAAGTGGCGCTGTGGCTCAAAGTGGTAGAGCACTAGCCTTGAGCTAGAGTTCAGGGATAGTGCCCAGGCCCAGAGTTCAAACCCCACTACTGATTAAAAATAAAAGACTGCCATTGCCCAAGTTGGAAATGATATGACCCTAATGGATTGCAAAAAGGCTGCCTACCCTCCAGCTAATTCAGTGGCAGAGAGTCTTGGGCTTGTTGTTCCCTAGAAGAGTGAATCAGACCTTGGACTAAAGTTATAGTTTTCTTATCTCTAAAATAAACAGTTATGCTGGGCACCAGTGGCTCACACCTGTAATCTCTGCTACTCAGAAAGCTAAGGATCATGGTTCGAAGCTAGCCTGGGTAAGAAAGTCCATGAGACTCTCATCTCCAATAAACTACTCAGAAAAAGCCAGAAGTGGCAGTCTGGCTCAAGTGGTAGAGGGCTAGCCTTGAGCACAAAGAAGCTCAGGGACAGTACCCAAACCCTGAGTTCAAGCCCAAGCATTGGCAAAAATAAATAAACAAATAAGACTAAGTAGACTTTGTCTACTTAGGGTGACATTCAAAATGATAACATGCATACTTAAATCATAACCATTGACAAAAGTATGTTCTAAAGACTCAATATGTAGTTAAATGAACTACAACAACTCATACATTTGCCCTACAATGCACCAGCACACATACCAGACCAGCTAAAGCTGCTGCATCTCAGCCACTCACCATGCCAATCAGTCATTCTGGGAGTGAATTACTCATTGCTTATGATCACTTTGGTCAGTAGACAACCTTTCCCCACTTTCCTCCACCTCAATTTCCATTTGAAGTCCTTATCTGGGGTGCTATCACCATCAGAAAACGGGCAACAGACAGAACAAAGCAATGAAAGATGGAATTCAGCCAGTAAGTTAGCTAAAATTAAGCAGGGAAGAAACCTAAGAAGAAAACTGTTGCCAAGGAGACTCCTTTAATTTTTAATGATTCACACCAGAGCCAGCACTCATTAGCAGAGACAAATGAACCATCTGCCTAAGTGCTTACATACACAAAAACATACACTCCTTCACACAGACATGTAACTGGAGACAAAACTTTTAAAAATTACACCTTCTCTTGACATTTCTCCATAAAACAAAGTTAAGGCACCAAAACAAACATTTCCTTCTAGTTCTGTTGCTGCCTTATTGAATTCTGGGGAGAAGTGAAGAAATGCTCTAATTCTAAAATATATCTATTTTCAGAAGTGAATGTAGAAAACCTTTTGGATGAGTAGCTCTAAACATTGGCTTCGATTTTTTTCTTAATTTCAAAATTCAATTTTTTGAGGAAAAGTGTTATTGATATTTCATATATTCCATAAGCTCCTGTGTGATTTGTAAAGTTTTTCTTTGACAGCCAGGAGTACTTATAACTCTATTATTTTTTTTCTGACAGTTTTAACATGCTGAATACAAACTTTTTCCTCTTCTTTGAATACTCTCCAAGTCCCACGAATAAATAATCAGCATTAAAATCTTGAGTAATTTCCCCAGAGAGCTATTGCTTAAGTAGAAACCAAGCTCATCTTCTCTGATGTGTGTTAAAAAGTCATAAGCGAAAATCCCAGGAGTCTCTTTGATTAATGCTATTTCTCCTATTGGCTTTCATTACCTGTGAAACCATCTAAACTTGATCCAAACAGGAGAGTCACCTGAAATCACCTCTGTGGTTTTCTCACATTGCAAAAGTAAACTAGCTATAGAGTTGTTGGGTTTTGTTTTGTTGTGTTGTGTTTTTTTTGGTCAGTCATGGGGGCTAGAACTCAGGGCTTGGGAGCTTTCCTGAACTTTTCCAGTCAAGGCTAACATTCTATCACCTTGAGCCATAGCTCCACTTCTAGTTTTGTGGTAGTTAATTGGAAATAAAGGAGACTCTCTCATGGACTTTCCTGTCCATGCTGGCTTTGAACTGTGATCCTCAGATCTTAGCCTCCTGGGTAGCTAGGATTATATGAGTGAGCCATTGGCACCCAGTTTGAAGTCAATTTTTTTTTTTGCCAGTCCTCAGGCTTGAACTCAGGGCCTGGGCACTGTCCCTGAGCTTCTTTTGCTCAAGGCTAGCACTCTACCATTTGAGCCACAGGGCCACCTGCAGCTTTTTCTGTTTATGTGGTACTAAGGACTCAAACCCATGGCTTCATGCATGTGAGGCAAGCAGTCTACCACTAAACCACATTCCCAGCTCTGAAGTTAATTTCTTATATGATGTTTGATGAAAAAAATTCGCCTCCAAATTGTGAACTGTCAAAACCCAGTCTCGCCGGGCGCTGGTGGCTCATGCCTGCAATCCTAGCTACTCAGGAGGCTGAGCTCTGAGGATCACTGTTCAACGGCAGTCAGGGCAGGAAAGGTCCTGTGATTCTTATCTCTAATATAGCCACCAGAAAACCGGAAGTGGAGCTGTGGCTCAAAATGGTAGCCTTGATCAAGTTCAAGCCCCATAACCCAGTCTTAACCTGTCTCAGTGCCTGTGTCTTATCTATCTTTGTATCCCCAGCATCCAAATAAAAGCCTTGGACATAACACAGGCTTGGCAAAATAATAACTGACTGAAATGTGTTAAGGACTAACCTTCAAGAGCATTTCCTCATGTTGAGGGTTCTCAGAATCATAGGGCTCTCTGCGCAGTTTTTCCACATCTGCGATAAGGTTTCTGTAGCCCACGATTTGCAGGAGGCAAGCCTGAAGAGAGATTCCCAACCTAAAGTGTTCAAAAATAGAAGACACACACAAGGAATAACAAAACTACTTGGGATATGTCCTCACTTTACTCATATATTCACGATGCAACTTTTTATATATGTATAATATGCGGAAATGATTCAAATATGATCTCACTAGTGGAATTACATTCTCCAGATGGATAGCTGAAGAAATGAGCTCAATTTCTTTTCTCAGTTTGGCTTTTTCTTAGGCTAAATGGATCATTTATTCAGCTAATTTGTTCTTCATGAAGGTGACTTGAGAATGAGAAATAAAAAATAACAGGTAGAAGCCCAGCCCTTGTGGCTCAAGCCAGTAATCCTAGCTACTCAGGATGCTGAGATCTGAGAATCATGGTTCAAAGCTAGCTAGAGCTGAAAAGTCCAGTGAACCACCAGAAAACCAGAAATGGCTTTTTGGCTTAAAGTGGTAGAGCACCAACCTAACAATACCCAGGCCCTGAGTTCAAGTCCTACAACCAACGAGAAGAGAAAATAACAGGCAGAGATAGTTGGGTAGACCAGAATTTTCCTTCAGAAGGATGTGTGAGGAAAAAGTTACCTGTATTCATCTGATGGCATTCAATAATAAATCTTCCCATACTATTTTGTGCTTATGTGTTCTAGCTACAATCACAATCATTTATATTTTTTCTGGCTCAAAATGATTGAATAGTGGTAATTTTATGTAATACTGTCCAATCTATTTTTTTCTCCTAGTGTACTCAGTCAGCATTTTTGTTGTGGTGGTGGTTATTATATGATACAGTAGGTTTAAAAGTGGGAGCAACAGGTCTGAGAATTATAGTACTTCAATCATAAAGGGAAGTGTCAGCCTGGGACACTAAACCTAAATAAAATTATGTGCTCAATTAAATGGTCTTTAATTTATAATTTAATAACTACTTGTTATCAAGTAGGTATATCAAGTGATTGCTTGTAAGTGGCACAGATCACCACCAGAAAAATCAGTGTAAGACCAAGGAGAAGGTTTATTTTGAGAAAAAAAACAAAGTGGAAAACTAAGAGGCGGGAACAAGAAGAGCCAACTAAAATCTGGTCTGTAGCAATTTTCTATATGCCTATAGAAAATTTTATATATAGTTGGACTGTAGCACTATAAATATATTGGTCTTGAAAGGAATGGAAATGAAAGAAATTAAGGTCAATATTAGTAAGAGTTTTATTATTTGAAATGTTTTCTCCATGTTTAATCTCCTATTTTTTTTTTTTTTTGCCAGTTCTGAGGCTTGAACTCGGGGCCTGAGATGGTCACCTATTTTTCTTGGAAAAATATATGATTTGTTCATACCAAGTTTTGTCAATAAAAGTTTGAGAGGAAAGGTGTTTAAACCCACACAGATGTGTTAAAAAAAAAAACACCCAATCAAATAACAATGAAAGTCATATGCTACCAATACCTTTTTCTAACAAATTTTGAAAAGGAAGAGATGAGAAATGCTTTAGAATGCAATTTCTATACCTTATACTAGAACAGCTATAGGAATGATTTGTTGTTATATTTAGTCCAATCTAATCTCTAAATATCATTACAGGACAATGATGTCTTTTCTGCCCAGTTTTTATACATACGTACATACGTGTGTGTGTGTGTGTGTGTGTGTGTGTTGGTCCAGGAGCTTGAACTCAGGGCCTGGGCACTGTCCCTGAGCTTTATTTGTTCAAAGCTGGTATTCCACCATTTGTGACACAGCTCCACTTCTGGCTTTTCAGTAGTTAATTGTAGGTAAGAGTCTCGCAGACTTTCTTGCCCCTATTATTTTGAACCTTAACTCTTAGATCTCAGTAGCTAGGATTCTAGGTATGAACTACTGTTGTCTAGTCTAGACTTATATGTTGGATCAGACTAATTTTGAATGAATTGCCTTCTTATCACTTCCCCAAAGGAATAAAATATATGTCAGCAGATTAAAAAATATATATTTAGTACATAATTAAAGCAAACTTAACATCTGAAGGAAGGAAAAGGCAGCTAATTAGCTGAAGTGGCTTCCAAAGGCTGGAAATTCAGTTTTTGTGCTGAGCCCTCACAGAGCTAATCCCTACCACCCCTCCAAGAGACAGATGCGCGTCAAGTCTAAAGTCTCAAGTGCAAGGGACTACACTCAGCAATCCTTTCAACTCCAGCTTCCTGACTTTGGCAATTAAAAGCCTTCCTCTTTTGGCAATTAAAAGCTTTCCTTCAAGGTAACATCTGAAGTTCTCATGTAAGTAGATCGAAAGGACAGCTTGATTGTTACAAACCTAAAACTGTCTCCAAATATAACTACATTTGGAATTTATTCTATCCATTATCCTTAGCCCCACATTTTATAAAAAAAAAATAGTTGCTGTACCCAATGGAAAAGCAGAAAGCTAATTTTAAATGTCACGAATGTTGCCAAATGCATTTGAAGACTTCCAAGATGAGAGGAATAAATTATAAAGTTCTAAAGTCTTCAAATAAGAAACCATCTCTTCCTCCCACACATGCCTGTCTTCTTGATAAGCAGGTAGGAAAACTGTCTCCAAGATGCTCAGCCTGTTATGAAAGAATATTCATGAGGGTGCTGAAGGAATATTCTAGATGCAGCAGAATCAGCTTAGGTACATTTATGACTTGAACATTTGTAGTGCATGCCAAACAGCCACTGCACGTAACGGTTGTTGACAAATAGGTTGTTTGTTTGTTGTTGTTGTTGTTTTTTGTCGGTCATGGGGCTTAAACTCTGGGCCTGGGCCCAGTCCCTGAGCTCCTCAGCTCAAGGCAAGTGCTCTACCACTTGAGCCACAGAGCCACTTCCAGTTTTCAGGTGGTTTATTGGAGATAAGAGTTTCACAGACTTTCCCGCCCAGGCCGGCTTTGAACTGTGATTCTCAAATCTTAGCCTCCTGAGTAGCTAGGAATACAGGTGTGAGCCACCAACACCTGGTAACAAATAGGCTTTCTTTATCCCACGTTCTTCTCTCAGGGGCATCTCTCCCATAATTATGCTCATCGCATCTTGGAAGTGGAAAACAAACACAATGGCAGTTTACAAACACAAAGGGCACTTTTTGTTTTTATCCATCAACCGGAAGTCAAAAAACACTGATGTTATTTCAGGAAGAGTGTGAAGGAGTTAGGACATAGGGAAGGGGAGGGACAGGGAGAGATAAGACAGGAAATGTATGGCTAGGTGTTACTTGGGTTCTATATTTCCCACATCCAAAACGTTCTTACTGTGGATTTATGTCGGGGTTAATATTTTTCAGTTCCATGATATCTTCTATAGTTTTCTCAATTGCATCAGGGTGAACACTCACTGAAGTCTGCAGCAGCTGGAAAACAATGCTTCAGTTAATTTTCTTCAGTGTCACCACTGGCTTAAAGAGTGTTTCCTGAGACAAATCTTCCAGTATTTGTTTAGGCTATTTGTTGGTGTTGGTGATCATGGGGCTTGAACAAGGGGCTTGGGCACTGTCCCTGAGCTCTTTTGCTTAAGGTTAAGGTTCTGCCACTTTGAACCACAGTGCCACTTCCAGTTTTCTGGTGGTTAGTTGGAGATAAGAGTCTCACGGATTTTCCTACCCAAGCTGGCTTTGAACCACAATCCTCAGATCACAGCCTCCTGAGTAGCTGGGATGACAGGTGTGAGCCACCACAGCCCAGCTTGTTTGATCTATTGTAGGAAGGCTTGAGCTCAAAGCAACTAGTGTTCCTTACACCCCTGCATTTTAAGACAGCATCAGTGAACTCATGCAAGAAGTTTTCACTTTGACTGATTTTTGTGCCTTGATATCTTTACAATGGAGGTATTGCTATTTTCCCATTAAAAGGTATTTCATGTAATACACACATACCAGAGAGATAGAGACAGAGAAAGAGACAGACAGAGAGAAAGAAAGAGAGCTTCTGTTTTTACTGATGAGTTGAGTTTTAAGCTACTTATATTGCAATATTACATTTCCTTTTCCACACACAATATATTTCCCAGTGTTACTGGACATTATATCAATCTTAGGGGTGAAAAATGAAATAATAAGATAAAACTAAAGAGAACAGACTTATGTCTGCTCTTTGATGTGACTGGAAAGGGTCAAGTATAAAGTCGAAAGGTTTGAATAATAAAGAAATATTAGAGATACTAGTGTTGCTCTATTTTAGGAAGTAGTATAAATAGGGCTAATTTGAGAGTAAATAACAGATGCTGCTGGAAGCTGGTGGCTCACATCTATAATCCAAGCTACTCAGGAAGCTGAGGTCTGAGGATCATAATTTGAAACCAGCCCAGTCAGAGAAAGCATGTGAGACACTTATCTCCAATTAACTACCAGAAAGCCAGAAGTAGAGCTGTGGCTCAAGTAATACAGCACCAGCCTTGAGCTTAAAAAAAGAAAGAAAGAAAAAGCTAAGGGATAGCATTCAGACTGAGTTCAAGCCCTAGTATTGGTACACACACACACACACACACACACACACACACACACACACACACACACACAAATACTTCACTTCTGACATGTGGTATGCTGCTGGGAAGGCGGCACTGGTTTTCATAGTCAATGATCTGTTTTATGTTTCTTGAATTTTTTACTTTTTAGGATATTGTACATCCTATTAGTAAAAAGTCTCTGAAAGAAAACAAGGAAAGAATTGTGCTTACCTTACTCTTTGAATCCCTCAATGATGTTTCTGTTAAGACAGTAACCAAGAAAGTCATTGAAAAATGGTCTTTTATGAGTGGCTTTCAATTGTTTACTTGAACATCATATTGTAGCCTCAACCCAACCCTGGTGCTGTTCCCTGCTTACCAATTTTCATGGTTCTAGATGCTCCTGGCTTGGTGTTGTAGCAGATGCGTTGCAGTTCACATCTTCCAGTTAGCTTTCTCATTACAAATTTCAGGCAGCGCCACAAAAATTTACAGTAAAAATACAGGCACACCTGGATGAACATTCTGTGAAAAACAAAAGACACCACCCTTCCAACAGAACTCTGGAAGAGAACAGAAAGCAGCCACCACCACCAAGAAAAGAAGCCCAGAAAGAAAAAGCCATAGGTTTCTGGGTTATGCAAGCATTGTTTCTAATTCCATGTCTCTAAGTAATCAAACAGGCCTGGCCTCTCTCCCTTAGCTGGTTTTTGCTCATGGCTGGTACTCTACCATTTGAGCTACAGCTCTTCTAGCTTTTTAGTGGTTAACTAGGGACTTTCCTTCTTCTTGGGTTGGCTTTGAACCATGATGCTCAGATCTCAGTCTCCTGAGTAGTTAGGTTATAGGCACGAGCCACTGGCACTAGGTACCTGTGTCATTTTATTTGTAGAAGCTACACTCAGGGTAACTATGCAACTCCAGAATGCCCCAAGTCTAGAAATTTGATTTTTGCATGAAACAGAGGCTAAAACATCAGAATCCTGTATAACCCCACTTCTGCCTAAACCGTTTTAGAAATAAATCAGGTCCTTGAACATACAATTCTTCATGTCAAGATGGCCCCTTCCGGGCTGGGAAGGTAGCTCAGTGGTTGAGCGCTTGCCTTGCATGCCTGAGGCCCTGGATTCGACTCCTCAGCGCCACATAAGCAAAAAGAAAAAAGCCAGAAGTGGTGCTGTGGATCAAGTGGTAGAGCGCTAGCCTTGAGCTGAAGAGCTGAGGGACAGCGCGCAGGCCCCACGACCAGACCCCCCCCCCCCCAAAAAAAAAAAGATTGCCCCTCCTCTAGACATGGAAGAAGGCATTGTCTCATCTCTTGGACATTTCCAATTGTCTTATATTTATGGTCAAGCCCTTCCTGATGTCAATTAACTCATTCAACCACTTCCTATATTTCTTTCTTCCTTGCCCCTATGCTTTATCTCCACTTTCCCTCAGGTATTGCTGCCTTCTTCAAGGACTTGGTTGTGTGGCTAGCTCACCTTGCCTGCTGACCAATCCCCGTACACCTTGAATCTGCTGGAAAATTTCCTCATCAATATGCTGGATAAACACTTCGACTTTTGATTCTCTTGGATGAGAATCAAACGTCAGACAGACAACATTCTCTGATTTGAGCTTTTCAGAAACTCTATCTTGGAGAAGTCTTTTCTCAGTTCTTGCTCAAGAGCATTTTCTTTGTTGTACATTCTACCTTACTCCAATAAAGCCTCAGCACCTTGGAGCTACATTGTCAAGGATCAGATATTCACATGTATCTCCCACTTGTGAATTTGTCTTTCATTTTGATTTCTAATATTTTTGTGTGTGTGCCACTACTGGGGCTTGAACTTAGGGCCTGGGAGCTGTCCCTGAGCTTTTGTGCTCAAGGCAAGGGCTCTCCTCTTGAGCTACAGCTCCACTTCCAGCCTTTTGGCAGTTAGTTAGGGGTAAGAGTCTCTTGGACTTTCCTGCCCTGGCTAGCTTCAAAGTGTGATCCTCAGATCTCAGTCTCCTGAGTAGTTAGGATTACGGGTTGAGCCACCAGCACCCAGCCTGACCTTCAATTTGAAAAAAATGTACCTATTAGTTTATGGTACTTCTTAGAGTCTCAAAATAATGCAAGCTTTAGCAACGAAGATGGTCTATCACTGAGGAGCTTTTATCCAACTCAGCTTCTCTGTATCCTAGGAGGCAGAATTATTTTCATTACTTCCTATTCGTTTCATTTCTAAAAGATGTATTTTCCTTCAAATGCACAGTAATTCCTTCTAGCTCTAAAAAAAAGGTGACTCAGAGTCACTGAAATCAATGAGTAGGTAATTGATAGCTTCAATAATGTGGTTTATTCCCTAAATGAATAACCCCTTGGCTGTATACACGTGTTCAAACTTCTTTGGTTCCGGTATTTTAAACAGCTTTGAATTGGAACTAAACATTTTAATGGTCTTATTTATACAAGGGTATGGGGGTCTATGTCTGACAAATGCAAAGGGAATTGAAACAGGGTAAATAGCCAGGGTGTGAAGATACCACCATGAAATATTTGCAGATGATAACATCACAATCGAAAATATCTTACAACATGGAAAGGTCCATGATGTAGCAAGGTGGCTTCCAGGACAGGCCATTCTCCCCTCCCCCATTCCAAGCCTGTTCATTAGGACTCCAACTCCAAATCTTCCCTGAGAAAAGGGCTCTGACAATTGCTTATGGATGATAGTGTAGAAAAATGTTACAAGTAGTTTCAAGTAGAAAGATGGCACAAAGGAATACATATGAACTTACCTACTTTTCCTTTAAAAAAATAAAATAAAGCCAGGTCCTGCCTGTATTCCTAGCTACTTTGGAAGCTGACATCTGAGGATTTGCAGTTTGAAGTCAGGAAAGTCTATGAGACTCTTATCTCCAATTAATCACCAGAAAACCAGAGGTGGAGCTGTGGCTGCTAGCCTTAAGCCAAAATACTTGAGAACTGCACCCAGGCCCTGAGTTCAATCCCCAGGACTGGCACACTAAATTAATTAAAGAAATAAAGAAAAGAAAAGAGGGCTGGGAAGGTGGCTCAGTGGTAAAGCGCTTGCCTTGCATGCTCGAGGCCCTGGGTTCGATTCCTCAGCGCCACATAAGCAAAAAGCAAAAAGCCGGAAGTGGCACTGTGGCTCAAGTGGTAGAGCACTAGCCTTGAGCTGAAGAGCTGAGGGACAGCGCCCAGGCCCAGAGTTCAGGCCCCATGACCGGACCCCCCCCCCCCAAAAAAAAAGAAAAGAAAAGAAAGCTTTTAATAGTGATGTATAAACAAATGGAAAAAAAAAGTCTGTCTGGTTACACAACTAAAATATCACCTGTGATATCATTAGCCAATAGCAATATCAGAAATTTCTATTTTTTAAAACTAAATATGTTTACCTTTTTCTATCATATATGTGTATATCTGTATTATTTAGAGAAAATGAAAATTGTGGCAAAAAATCAAAAGCCATTACAAAAGTGCCTATAAAATTTTCTTTGTGTAAACAGTTACTATAAATCAACCACATTCTGCTGAAAGACAAAAAAAAAAAAAAAAGGATTTACTATGTTGAAAAGCCTACCGTTCAAGTCAAATATGTTTTAAGATCTGTTAGGATTTAGGTTAACAGCTTCCAAAAAAAAAGTAACTCTAAAAATAAATTTAGTGGAACATTTTAATTAAACAAGTGAGAAGATTTTATAAAATCTCAACTTGTTCTTTTGGAAAATGTTCTTCATTTTTCCAATTATTGGATAGCTAAGCCAGGAAAAAAAAAAAAAGCTTGAGCAGTATCGTTGCTCACTGGTCCCTTGCCAAATGGCAATGATATTAATTACTGGAAGACATTATTCCTGTTATTAAGTAAAGGCTAAAAGCTTTCCATGATGTCTGTGCCATTTACAATTTTTGTAAATGGCCTTCCATGGGGGCCGGTGCCAAATAAGGCCACTGCTCAAGTCTGTGCCTAGCACTGAATCTTCCCAGAGACAAAGGTTCTGATTAACTGTTTACCAAGCAAGTGCTGTAGTTTGGATTTTGAATGTTCCCCAAAGGCTCATGTGTTAAAGGCTTGGTACTCAAGGTGGCGCTACTGGGAAGTGAGGGAGCCTTTAAGAGGTAGGGCCTAATGGGAGGTCTTTAGGTCATTGGGAATATGCCTCTGAAAAGGGCTGTGAGATGCCCCCTCTCTCCACTCTCTGGCTCCCTGGCCTTAAGCGCAGTTTCCAATAGTGATTCTTATCTCACTATGGATAAGATCTGTTAGACTTAGGAAACAACGAAGTAATCTAAAATACTAGATGGAGAAAATACTGGTGACCACTTCTATTTGTTCGTTTGCTTTTTGGTATCATGGCTTTTTTAAAAATAGTGTTCAAAAAGAAAAAGTTGCTGTAGCTTCTTAAGATGAATGTCTTGCTTAAGCCTGTGGAGAATAATAACAGCCTACTACTCTTGTCCTATTTCCAATATTTTCTGTTACTGCTGTTTTTAATATGCTGTGGAGTGAAGTTTATGACTGACTTCACAACAGCATTCTTCCATAAAGCAATTATGACCACGTTTCTTATTGAACACTACTAATTCTTTAGCATGAATTGCAGTAGCGACCCAATATAAATTATTCAAAAATGGATCCTATCTCAGCTGACACATAAAAGCAAGCTCCTATCTTGTGGTGGTTTGTTAAATGAATGCTTTCAGCAAGGAGGGGAACTTCAGAAACGGGGTTCCCCTAGAACCGTGTAGCACCCTGCTGGAGGATGGGGGGTGTGGGTACCTGAAGTGCAAACCTATTCCATCATCTTAAATTTGTGAATCTGACGTCTTCTTTTGGAATAAGGAGAGAAAAGTGGCTTATTTTGAACAATTTCAATGAATGTGCTAGTGAGAGTCAATTCTTGCTTGAAGGAATCCTGTAATAAATAAGAAGCACACTATGGGTGAGAAAGAGATGTATATTTAAAAAAAAAAATCACAGTTGTTGGCTCAAACTACAGTTTCCCAAATGAAATACTTTCCTACTAAATGGCCATAAAGAAAAGAGAGCTGCCTTCTGAAAAGTAAAACTTAAAGAGTATCATTGAGGGAGATACCTATCATAAAACAAAGCTATTCAACTTCTATGGCTGGAGCAAAGGCCACTGCTTTTATATTTCAGGTAAGTTTTATCTGCAAGCTTAGAGAACAATCGTTGATCATGGGACAATTAAACTATAAGTAAATGACTGGTTTACCATTTTCCACTCAAGGAAAAGGAGATGTAGCTTTATTTTAATAACATTGTTAATCAAGTTTTGTTTTTTTAAATCCAGTATTCAAAATGATGAATTTTATAAGATTTATTTTTAAGTCACAGAATCATATTGCTTTGGATATTTGTAATGGAAAGCAGCAAACACATTATGCATTGACATTTTGAAATTATTCAAGTGCAATCTCCAATGTAAGCTCTTATTGGTGAATTACATATTTTTAAAACAATTAAAATTAAATAGAGTATAAATAAATGATAGTTATCAGAGGGAAACACTAATCCTCTAGTATCCATATTTTGAGCCTAAAATAAGGAATAAGGAATGGACCTGTTGTTATTATTATACATTTGCTATAGCATATTTAAGACCATCTTAAATCACTGAGTTGGAGGATCTTAGCAGTATTTTAAGTAACTTAATTTCTATTGATTTAAAGACCTGGAGGAGTTGAAGGAAAAGATTTTAGATGAATTGGAAAGAAAGGGGAAAATGAAGTTTATCCATGGGAACACACACACACACACACACACACACACACACACACACACACACACGAACTCACAATGTTGCATAAAAGGAAAAGGATTGTGGGTCAATGTGAGCAAAGACCTTAATTTCTTTACTGCCTGTGATGTCGCTGTATAAGAGACAAACTACACACAGTCTAGGATAGATGTCAGGGAAAATTTGCAAACCAGCACCATGATTCTAGATTGTTAGAGAGAGAGGGGGAAGAAAAAGCATACCTTCTGTAAGACTGGACAGGAAAGCCATCCTGGTCTTACAGAGAGGGGAAGAAACACCTAGAAAATCAGCATGTCTTACTTCAGCACAAAAGTGAAGACTCAAATGAATGCCTACATTAAATCTAAGACATAGTTTGAGTGGCCACAGCTTTCGCCGATCTTGCTCACTCTCTGGAGGAGCAGTGTAATAAGCTAGGATGTGCCCAATGAACTGGCCTTGAACATCTAAGGGAAAGCACAGGACAGGAGAGCTGGGACGTGGATGGCGGAGGGAATCCAGGAACAGCTCCAGGGCAATGAGCAGAGCCTGGGTGGTCACCTCAAAGAAACTGCTTGAACTCAGGGCCTCTCACTTGCAGTCTACTATTTGGACCATCCCAGCATCCCTTTGGGCTTTAGGCATTTTTCGGATAGGATCTCCCACTTGATCCTCCTGCCTCTGCCTCCCGGTAGCTAGGAAGACAAGGTGTATACTACCACACCCGGTTTGTACTTTGAGAGAGGGTCTCACTGCTTGAGGCCTGATTGGTTTCAAATCTTGGTCCTTTTGTCTCTGCCTCCGATGGAGATGAACACAGTCAATGTTGTGTATTTGCATATATGAAAACAATAAAATCTGAAGTGTACAGATACACTCTGTTGGCTTCTAGGTAATGTTGAATTCTTCTCAGTGAAAGTCAACTCCTGGTTCCTATAATATATTTCAGTTTGGGATTTTTTTTCCCAGTCCTAGGGCTTGAACTCAGGGCCAGGCTCTGTCTCTTTAGCCTCTGTGTGCTCAAAGCTGGCACTCTATCACTTGAGCCACAGCACCACTTTTGGCTTTTTCTGAGTAGTTTATTAGAGATGTATTAGATCTTCGTACCCGGGCTGGCTTTGAACCATGATCCTCAGCAATCAGCCTCTTCAGTAGCTAGGATTACAGGCATGAGCCACCAGTGCCCAGCCTCATAATCTATTTGTTGAGAGTGGGAATTAATACCTGATTTATTCAGGCCATGTTGACATAAACTTCTTTGGTTCAAATAACCAAAAGCATTCAACCTGAGTGGGGATGAACCACAGGGTATAAATGACATACTAGCTCTGAGTTTGTAGAACCTATTATTCCTGGTTTTCCTTCCACATTCCATATACCTGACTGTATAATGACTATACAGTATAACTTAATAGACAACTAAGGCTGGATGATGATCAAATTTCCTTTCATAGTTGTTTTTTTTGTTATGGGACTTGAACTCTGGGCCTGGGCACTGTCCCTCATCCCTTCAGATCAAGGCTAGTGCTCTACCACTTGAGCCACTGCACCACTTCCAGTTTTCTGAGTGGTTTATTGGAGATAAGGGTCTCCTGGACTTTCCTGTCTGGGCTGGCTTTGAACTGTGATCCTCAGATCTCAGCCTCCTGAGTAGTTAGGATTACAGGTGTGAGACACTGGGGCTCCCAGCTCCGTTCATAGTTTAAAAGCCAGGAGTTATTTTTTAAAAACACTCAAATTTCTTAATGTGTAATCTGTCATAGTAGCTTTAACCCATGCCAAATGGTATTTATAAAATACATGTGCCAAATAAGAAGAGGAAAATTTGTGTCAACATGCGTGAATGATAGATAGGCTTGCTCCATTATCCTTGGTTTTGATCTGTGCAAAAATATATCAGTAAATTCTCAAATCTAAGTTCTAAATAATCACATGCAAATTGATTATCACGTGGAATATTACTATCTCTACTAAACACAATGTTTCAGTTATTCAATTTAAACCAAGAAAACTGACAGAAGATGAAGCTACAATGTCTTCCTAAAATGACTAGTGTTTGTTTGTTTGTTTGTTTGCCATTGTAGGTCTTAAACTCTGGGCCTGGGCTCTTCAGGTCAAGGCTAATGCTCTATGGGAGCATTTATGGGAGACTTTCCTGCCCAAGCTGGCTTTGAACTGTGATCCTCAGATCTCAGCCTCCTGAGTAGCTAGGATACAGGTGTGAGCCACTGGCGCCTAGCAAAATGACTGGTTTTGAGGCTTGAGTTTTTCTAGAATACATAAGGCACTACAGAAGAAATTCTGTAGTACAAGTCTTGGCACAGGTATTTATCACCACCATAAAAACCCCTTTGTATAAAAGGAGCTCCAGATTCTAAGCTTCTACTCACACCTAAGCTTTGAATTAACACAATTCTGTTCTAAAGGGCCCATGTGTGCACCCAGGAGGCATTCATAAATACCAATATGTCATAAATGTATTCATGGGTTAATTACCATGACAACCAAGAATTTATCAGGTCAGATACTTGGCTGGCAAATGTCCTAGTAATATTTTGAATATTATCTTTTTACATGGCTGAAATAAACAGGCTAGGGATGATTCTGTACAGCAAAGACAAATTCTGCTGCCTGGGAATGGTTTAAACCCTAGGACATATTGTCTCTCTCCACACACGAGAATGTTCACCAGTCATTATCTGAGAAAAAGGAGCCTACTCTTCCAGAAAGTGTGTTGAGTTTCTTAACATTCTGACTGATTTTATTTTGTCCTATTTTAATATAATACAAATTTTCCCTGGGAATTTCACCAACCAAAGAGTGAGTGTCAGGGCTGGGAATGTGGCTTAGTGGTAGAATGCATGCCTAGCATGCATGAAGCCCTAGGTTCGATTCCTCAGGACCACATACACAGAAAAAGCTGGAAGTGGTGCTGTGGCTCAAGTAGTAGAGTACTAGCCTTGAGCAAAAAGCAGCTCAGGGACAGTGCCCAGGCCCTGAGTTCAAGTCCCAGGATTGGCAAAACAAGTTCACCCAACACACCCCAACTTCCTTTTGTGAAGTTTTTGAGGAACTGTCAATAAACACAGATTTCAGAGAGAAGAGTGAGTAAGAGCAGAAACTCAGAATATAAGACTGACCAAAAAGGAACATTTTAAAAATGCGTGTGTTGGCTGATCAACCAACCAAAACCTAAATAAAGGGAGATTTTCTTTCTTTCCTTCCTTCGGACAAATTGTATTAATTCATGGACAGCTGACTCCTTAAACCTTAACTTTGGGGTACTGGCACAGCATTCTTTAGAGACACATTGACATCAAAGTGGTCTAGAAGACTTGCATTTCTACCCATGCTCTCATTACCCATAAGTGCTCTCTTTCAGCATCAAAGAGGGACCTCATGACCAAAATATTCTTAGTCAGAATGTGATGCTAACATACCTGGTCACAGGATCACCCGTGATGAACAAAAGCACTGGCAAACATTTCTTGCCAATTGGCAAGGAAGTCTCTCCACTTTGGAGAGCTCATTCGAGAAGCACCATCCCTTACCTCAGGAAGTGCTTCATTGTGCCTCTGTGGACTGTGCAGGTGCCGCACGAACTGCCCTCAAGTAATTGCTTCCAAGAAAGTCAGTGGAGGCTGGGGGAAGAAATCAGATTTATTTACTAATAAGGGAAATGGAAACCTCAGAACATTGACTGAAAAGTCCACACAGCAGCACCACTCAGAGGATGTGGATACAGCCCTAGCCTTTCACCTTAAGACTGTACAACTAATCTTCCTTTGTAAGTCACTTGTCGGAGAGAAATGACTAGTTTCATGAGCTTCAAGAGCAAGTGTTTTCTCTATTTTGAGTATTATTTCTATTTCCCTCTTCCTCCTCCTCCTCCTCCTCCTCCACCACCTCTTCCTCCTCCTCCTTCTCCCCTTCCTCCTTTTCCTTCTCCTCCTCCTCTTCCTCCTTCTTTTCCTTCTTCTCCTCCCACGCCACTTCTTTGTGTTGGTCCCTGGACTTAAATTCAGGGCTTGAATACTACCCATTGATATGCTTTTGCTCAAGACTAACTAAAACTCTACCACCTGAGCCACAGCTCCACTTCTGGCTTTATTTTTTTTTGGGGTGGGGGAGGTGGGATTAAGCAGAGATAAGAATCTCCTGGACTTTCCTGCCAGGGCTGGCTTTGAACTGCAATCCTCAGATCTCAGCCTCCTGAGTAGCCTGGATTACAAGTGTGAGCCGCCAGCATCCAGCTAAGTTTATTTCTATACCTTGATGATTGATAACATTTATAAGAAAAATAAAACTCAAGCTCTTTATAGAGGTGACTATCTTGATTTACAGACATCCACTGGTCTTCAGCCCAGCAGCCTTAACCTTAAGAATAGAATGCATGCTACATGCATATCTGGAAATGTTACTCTGCATCCCATTAATAAGCACAACTAACACATGTTAATACATTTTTTAAAAAGTGGTCAAAGAGGCCGGAGCCTGTGGCTCACGCCTGTAATCCTAGCTACTCAGGAGGCTGAGATCCGAGGATCAGGGTTCAAAGCCAGCCTGGGCAAGAAACTCTGTGAGACTCTTATCTCCAATAAACCACCAGAAAAGCGGAAGTGGTGCTGTGGCTCAAGTGGTAGAGTGCTAGCCTTGAGATAAAGAGCTGAGGGACAGTGCTCAGGTACAGAGCTCAAGCCCCATGACTGACAAAAAAAAAAAAAGTAGTCATAGAGCCAGGTACTCCAAACAAATCAATGATACTCCAGATCCCATTTTGGGGCCCTGTGAACAGAAAAGTAAGGTGTTGGGGCTGGGAAGTTGGCTCAGTGGCAGAGCGCTTGCTTTGCATGCCTGAAGCCCTGGGTTCGATTCCTCAGCACCACATAAGCAAAAAGAAAAAAACCGGAAGTGGTGCTGTGGCTCAAGTGGTAGAGCGCTAGCCTTGAGCTGAAGAGCTGAGGGACAGTGCCCAGGCCCAGAGTTCAGGCCCCACGACCGGACCCAAAAACAAAACAAAACAAAACAAAACAAAAAAGTAAGGTGTTATACTTCCATAGTACTTTGTAGTTCATCATTTGATTTTACAAAGCTTAGAACATTAGGTTATTGGTCTTGAATGGGAGGATGCTGGAGGCAACCTTCAGAGCGGAAAGCAGGGATGATGGGATGATGAGAGAGAGTAGTAACAAAAAAGAGGTATTGCCCTCTGAGAGAAGAGATGTTGGAATGCCAGATAGAAAGAAAATGTTGGAGAACTAAATGTAGGGCAGAGACACAGCCCCAACTAGAATGGCCTAGAAGTGGGGGAGACTCAGCCCTCCAACTTCAGTCTTTTTTTGTTGTTGTTCGGTCATGGGGCTTGAACTCGGGGCCTGGTCGCTGTCCCTCAACTCTTTAGCTCAAGGCTAGCGCTCTACCACTTGAGGCACAGCACCACTTCCGGCTTTTTTCTGCTTATGTGGTGTTGAGGAATCGAACCCAGGGCCTCATGCATGCAAGGCAAGCGCTCTACCACGGAGCCAGCTTCCCACCCCTCCAGTTTTTTCATTTCTTTTGTCAGTTATGGGGCTTGAACTCAGAGCTTGGATGCTATCCCTTAGTCTTTTCTTTAATAGATAATCATTTTTTGCAAATATTCCATGTATGTCTGGAAAAAAAACGTTTGCACCAATTTAAGATTATGGTTGTCTGTTTCTAAGAAGAAGTGGGGATTTAGGTTTGGTGAGGGATGGAGGGATGGTGGGGCTGGGTGGGGAGAAAGAGAAAGTGTACAGAATGACTTTCAATGGAGTCTAACCTTAAATATAACCCAAAGAGCCAGGGTTCCGCACAGAGCCAAGTGAATGACTGAGTAAAGGCTCTAAGGCAGATGATATATAAATCTCTCATACAAGGGAATTCCAAATGTATATGCATTACTGTGCCCCTTGAGAAGGTGGATGATCACTCCTTACTCCTTAATGAGAGGCTGGACTTGATAACTTCTGGAGTATAGTAAGGAAAAGGAGAAAGAAGCAAAAGGGAAATGAGAGGAATCCGATGAAAGCATGTCCACATCAGAGCATGTCCCCACGGTCAGCAGTCCTGTGATGCCATGGAACCTGAGCCAACCTCTACCAAGACCTTGTGGTCTCCCTCCCCCAAACCCAGAACTTCAGTTTAATCAGGAGAAAAACATCAGACAAATCCCAGTTGGAGGATACACACAACCATGTCTAATAGTACGTCTCAAAACTCTGTGTTAGTGAAATGAGCTCCCTTCCCATAGCTTAGTACATTACTTCCCTTCTCCACAGCTTAGCACGCTCTCTTCCTAGGCAACACTAGGTCCACTTAGTAAAGGCAGTAAATAATCAGCCTCTAATCCCCCTCTACCTTGGGATGGCACTTCTCTGGGGCAGCTACCACCAGATAGGAGCCCCTTAGAGTGACCTTCAGGTCTGGGCAGCTGCAGGACCCTTATCTACTCTTTGGATAGCAGCCATAAATCCTAGTCTGCCATGATGAAGCCCCTGGCCCACACATCCACACAAGGGTCTCCATCTCCTGGCCCTGTCTAGCTTCTCCTGAGCCTCCTAGATTTTGTAGGTCATCTCAGACAATAGCTGGTGCTTCTTCTCACTTCTTCCTTGTGAGAAGGGGTCTTGCTGGCTTCCTTCTCGGCAATAAACCTTCCCTTGTTCTCTCTACCTGGATGTCGGAGTGGTTCTCAGGCAAAGTCTAATAATCTTTCACTCTGAAAACCATTAAAAAACAAACAAGGAAATTCAAGATATCAAAGCCAAGAGGTGTGTGCTAAGGAGATGGCACTTATATGTGTGTGGCTTCCTGGATGGTGCCCTGAGTTGCATAAAAGACAAGGAGCAACAACTAGGGACCTAGGAAGCAAGCATGGGCTCTTTTTGGCTCCATAGAAAATGTGAATATTGGCCCATTGCTTGTAGCAAATGTTTGGGTGACTGGAAGATGTTAGCAGGGAAGACTGAATGCTAAGATCGGGACAGGGATTGTACATGGTGCTTCAGAGCACAGGTTTTGGAAGGGAGAAAGTTCTTAGCTTGGATGTCCCAATCATCAGAGGGCAACCTTACTGCTTAAGATCTTCAGGGTTCAACGTGAAGAGAAGCTCTAAGTAAGGATGAAATGAACCCAAGCATATAAAGTGCTCAGTGTGGTGCCAGGTCTGTTAACAGGCATCCAGTGAGTGGGTGCTCATTTGGCATTAGCATTTTTGTCATGTTTATTATTATCTGTTCCTCTCCAGTGAAAGAATTTTTTTTTTTTTTTGACAAAAACCACTCAGGACACTGCTGAAAGTCGAATGGGATGTGAATTGTGACATTGGCAGTGTTGAGGGCGGAGGACTGAGCAGAGGTGAAGGATATGTGGGAGGTAGAATCAACTGCCCTTGCTGATGGGATGGGGAAAGGGATGGCAAGGAAAATAACCATTAGCAATAATTATCTGTCACCCATGCTGGAAGCAGACATACCAATTAGATCTAATTGTCAGTCCCCCAATGAGAAAACACCAACAATGACTCTGAGTGGTCAAAGAAAGCTCGTGTGCACAATTGTCCACTGGGAACTCATTACATAACTTTGCTAAAGGTTTTTATATAAGGGGGAAAAATCATTGCCTTTTCTTGTTTTTGGAGGTTGGTGGTGCCTAAATGAAGGGCTAGGATGCTGCCACTAAGCATTTTTTTGCTCGAGGCTAGCACTCTACCACCTGAGCCACTTCTGGCTTTTTCTTTTGGGTGATTAACTGGAGGTAAGAGTCTTGTGGACTTTGACCTGCAATTCTCAGGTCTCAGCCTCCTGAGTTGCTAGGATTATAAGCTGTTGGGCTCATTGCTCATTTTAATGGACACTGGTTAGCTAGTCCACTCATTCGTGGAAATTAGCATTTCTCAAGTAGCTGGATAATGTGAGGAGAATTCACATTTCATAACAGTTTTATACACACACACACACACACACACACAGATCTGGCAATACTTGGATTTGAACTCAGGGCCTCATACTTGCCAGGTAAGTTCTCTTCCACTGAGCCACACCTTCAGTCCTGTTTTGCATGGTCACTTTTGAAATAGGATCTCACTTCTTGTTCAAGCAAGTGCCTGGGCCAATATCCACCTATTTTAGACCTCCTGCTGTAGCTGGGATGACAGGTGCATGCTCCAGTATGTCTGTTTTTCTTCTATTAGGATGGAGTCTCATGACTTTTCTGCCTAGGTTGGTCTAGAACCATTTATCCTCCCATTCTCAGCTTCCAAAGTAGCTTATAGGCTACATTTTACATACCTACTATTGCTCCAGAACAATCTATTTTCTGTTTCTTCTTTGGATTTCCATGGACTGCTCCAATGCATAGTACACTAAGTGCTCAATGTATATTGTACTTGTCAAAAGGAACATTGCACCATTTAGAAAAAAGTACTCTAACAGCGTTCATCAATGACAGCACTAAAAAGAGAAACTGTAAAGCTCCCAACTGAAGAAGAAGAAGAAGAAAAAAAAAAACAAACTGTGAGTCTTATTTTAACCCAACTAAAGAATATGATTACAATCCCAGGTTTTCTCCCACTAGAAGCATATTGTAGTAGTTTCTCTCCACTTGTCCAGAGA